TGACTAGATTTACCAGAAGGGCAGATAGGGGGGAATAGATGGGGTTGCTGACAGCACAGTGGACAGTGGCAGGGATGGGAGAGTATGGAGGCTCTAGTGGGAGAGGAAGGCTGTCTATCTGACGAGTTTATATTCATACTCAGATGCCAAGGAACTCAGAAAGTAAGCGACTGTGACCAGTAATAGTCATATATATAGAGATTAGAAATGCATGTGAAAACGTCTCAATGTCAATTGCCTTAAAATGAATTTTTCTATATGAAACTGTGTATTTTAACAACGAAGTGGAGATCTTTTTTAAACGTTAAAACCTCATTTAATTTTATGTCTTATAGAGTTTATAATGAGTAAAAGATTGTACAAGTGCAATAATTCATCTGTAAACCTAAAAATATACAGCCAATTTTGAAAGAGATGTACCTTACCTCAGAAAAATGTTATTGAATAGGTTAATGCTGTTGTAATGAAATGCTTCTTCTAATAAACAAAAAAAAGTGCAGTATACCCAAGGAGCAATCATATAGAGCTGTTATCAATTCAAGATCAAAAATGACCAAAGGACAGAATTGCTGCCAGAACCTGTCAGACAGCAAGATGAAAAGAACCAACCAATAGTCTGCAGCAGGCCAACAAGAGAAAGTGAGTGGATGAAAATCTCTCGTCACTGGTGCTCTTCCCTCTGATCTCTTGCCAATACCTCCCTTTGGCTGCACCCTACCATAAATTGAAAGTCAAGAGAGCATGTGGATGAAATCCTATGGTTCAGCTTCCCGGGGTACAAAGCAGGATGGGGAAGGACAGGGAAATGCAAGCCACAGAGCACAAGTGTTTACAAAGTAAGCTTTTCTCTAATTCTTTTGGCACATTCTAAGTAAGCTTAACTCCTCAACTCTTCTTAAATAATCTTCTCCCTGTTAATGTCCTATTGGACTGTAGGAAAGTGGTGAAGTAAAGCCAGATCTTTTATCTCCTAACTGAAGGTAAGACTGCTTCTTTACAAAGGACTGAGTATTAGTACTCAGTTTCCCTGAATACCCTGAGCCTCCTTCACTTTCTAGTTTAAAAAGATCTGCTAACATTTCTCAGCCATGGACTGATTATGTACTTCATCACCAGTCTTAGTGAAATAAAATGAAAGAGGTTTTCTTCATATTGGTCATAGGAAATCTTCTCATTTCACTTTCTGGTTTACGATGTTCTCAGAGACTCTAGGAGGAAATACAGGGTTTGTTGAATTCAGTGGCTCAGGCCAACAGCAAAGCTTCTTGAACATAACACATAATACAAATAAATGAGCAAAATGGACAGGTAACATAGTCACCAACTACTACCTAACTACTATGACAAATTATGACCGGTTAAGGAAGAATATGAAAAGTGAAACAACGTTCATATTTACAAAGCATTTCCTTTCTTTTGTGCATGAATTAGTGAAAACCAAGGAATAAACTGACTATATCTAGCAATCCAGAGGATCCAAAGCAAGGCATCCGACATCTAGGACCCAAAGAAAACCATTCCTCTGGGGAAAGTCCTTTATTACACTTCATAAAATATTACTAGACTATCATCAACTTTTCTTATTACAAAGAAGCATATTTCCCCTAGTTCTTCAATAACCTGTCTGCTAGTCCTCCCATTTTTAAGCTCATAAATTCTATGATTTAATTAAGTTTAAAAAGAAAGAAGGCTTTCCCTAAAAATTTGGATCTACTTCTTCAAATCTAAACTGAGTTTTTTGTGAGACATGGGCTACTTAAATGTACTGGATAAACTAGGCATTGTGACATACACTTGTAATCTCAACGCTTAAAGAAGAAGGTTCAAGAATTTGAGGCCAGTCTGGGCTATACAGCAAGACTGACACTGAAAGAAAGAAAGAAAGAAAGAAAGAAAGAAAGAAAGAAAGAAAGAGAGAAAGAGAGGAAAGAGAGAAGAAAGAAAAAGAAAGAAAGAGAGAGAGAGAGAGAGAGAGAGAGAGAGAGAGAAAGGAGGGGGAGGGAGGAGAAAGAAGAGAAAAAGGAAATTCAGGACATATTAAGAAAGTGGATATTCGACATATGTTCTCCCTCATATGTGGATCCTAGAACCAAACCTTGATAAGTGAGTATGTATCCAGACATAACTACAGGAACCAGGATAATAGAAAGGAAACAGGGAAGTAAAGGAAAAGAAAGAACCTGAAATAGAACATCGGGAGGGAACAAGCCAGACCAAAGAAGGAAGAGCATAAGCAGAACAGAAGTGATCAATATAGCAGAAAGGTGGCAAAGTCATGGGCTTACAAATATCAAAGGGGCAAGAGGAGAATATAGGGAACAGCTTCATCTCAAGAAATTTGGGGTGAAATGTACAAATGCCTTGAAATACATAATCTGCTGGAGTTCACTCAAGAAGAGAAGATAACCTGATTAGCTCTATCTACTGTGCAGTGGGTCTAGTATAAGAAGCTCAGAC